GGCCTCATGCATGCAAGGCAAGCACTCTACCTCTGAGCCACCTTCCCAGCCCAAATTTTTAATGTAATTTAATTTAATTTTTTTTTTTTTTGCCAATCCTGGAGCTTGAACTCAGGGCCAGGGGACTGTCCTTGAGCTTTTTTTGTTTAAAGCTAGCACTCTACCACTTAAGCCACCAGCACCACTTCCGGCCTTTTCTGTGTATGTAGTACTGAAAAATTGAACCCAGGGCTTCATGCATGCTAGGTGAGCACTCTGCCACTAAGTAAGATTCCCAGCCCTATTTTTAAATCTTTTTTTTTTTTGAAGGACTTTGTACAGTGCCTATACCAGTTTACATTCCCAGCAGCAATAAAATAACATTCAATATTTTGTTTTTTTAAATAAGTGTATGTATATATATGTGTGTGTGTGTGTGTATACATATACATATATATATACATATATGTATATATATATATATAGTAGCCATCCTAATAGATGTGAGATGGTATTTCATTGTCACTTTGGTTTTGCACTTTGTCTTTTCAAGTAAATTTTAGTCCTGAAGATAAACGATCACCCTTTTTCCTTGGGAATTGGTAGTATAAGTGGAGGACTGTTGCTATGAATAACATGCTCAGATAATATTTCTCTTCAGGTCAAATGCAGTGGGCTTTGAGGCACTGAAGGGGAGAGAAGGCACCATCATCTAGGCTGCGCTGTCTTCCTGGCTCATCATTTGGTCCCTATCACAATGTGGGTTATGATATTCATTTTGGGGGGTGAAATTCATACCATAATGGTGCCATTGTTGCTTTATTTATTTAATTTATTTTTTGTGTGTGCTAGTATTGGGGCTTGAACTCTGGGTTTGGGTGCTGTCCCTTAGCTTTTTTACTCAAGGCTGGGGCTCTACCATTTGAGCTACAGCTCCACTTCTGGCTTTTTACTGATCAATTGGAAATAAGGTTCTTATGGACTTTCCTGCCCAGGCTGATTTCAAACCTCTTGAGTAGCTAGGATTTCAAGTGATAGTGGAACTAGACTTAGCATTTGTTGGGAGAGCCACACTTCCAGCTCTGTTTGCTTTTGCTATTTTTCAATAGGGTCTTGCTTTTTGTCCAGTCCAGCCTGGCCCATAATCCTTCTATTTAGGCTTTCCACTTGGCTATATCCCCCTTGGTGTGTTGTGTGTGCACGTGTCAGTCCTGGGCCTTGAATTTAGGGTCAGAGTGCTGTCCCTGAGTTTTCTTTGCTCAAGGCTAGTGCACTACAACTTGAGTAGCCACAGCCCCACTTCTAGCTTTTTTGGGGGGCGGGAGGGGAGATGCTTAATTGAAGATAAGACTATTACTTTCTTGCCCAGGTTGTCTTTGAACCTCAGTCCTCAGGTCTTAGCCTCCTAAGTAGCTAGGATTACAAGCATGAGCCACCCAACCTCCAGCTATACCTACCTTTTTATTGGTTAAGATAGATTCTCCTTTTAACCTGGACTGGCCCTGAAAAATAATCGTATTGTTCTCTGCCTCTTCAATGGCTAGGATTGTAGGTGTGAACCACCAGGTCCAGCTACTTTCCCTTTTTTTAACCGCCTCTTCTTCTGTCAGCATCTGAGGACTCTGGTTACTAACAGACTGCCTGTCAGAATTGCCCTACCAGTCAGGTATGGGGTTATACACAGTAATTCCAGCACTCAAGGAAGGAGAATTGTGAGCTTGAGGTCAGCCTTGGTTACATAGTGAGACTCTGTCTCAAAAAGAAAAAAAAAAATTTGTCCTTTCTGGTTTAGGTAGTTGTTGGGCAAGCAGCAACTGGGCAGCAGAATTTGCTTCCATTTCTAAGTTCTCTTGAACTCATTGAAAGCTAGCTCAGTCTTCCCTGCATCGTCAGGAGGCATATGCCTTTCTTAACCTGTTGCTGACCAATGGAAAGCCACATAAGTCATGACAAAGTGGTAGTGTTGTGAAAGCAGCTTGCTCAGTGGCTCAGCTCTCTGTGAGTAGTTAGGGCAGTGTAGGTACAAAGGAGTCTCAGTGTACACAGGCTTCTGAATGCAGGCTTTCCCCCTCTGTTTCTCTGCCACAGATCTGGAGTTGCTTTAGTAGTGGATGACAATTCCAGGCTCTTATATTAAAGGAATTAAGGCTGGACACAGTGGCTTGAACCTGTAATCCCAGCTATCTGGGAGGTGGAGATGGGGAGAATGAATGTTTAAGCCCAGCTCAAGGGGAAATTGTAAGGGAGCCCCACCCTCCTGTCTTAACAATTAAGTCAGATGTTTACAGGTATACGTCTGTAGGCTCAACTACACAGGAGGCATAGGTAGAAGGATAATGGTCTCAGGAAAACCCCAGGCAAAAACTCAAGAAAGACCTCATCTGAGAAATAAAGCAAAAAAGTTGAGTGTGAGTTAGTGGTAGAGCCTCTCCTTAGGAAGTCCAAGGCCCTGAGTTCTGACTCCAGTGTTAACAAAAAAAAAAAAAACAAGGAGGAAGAAGAAGGTAGAATACTGGTAGCATTGGCTGAGTTTATACATACATGATAGCCAGCCTTTCTTTGTCATTAAAATATTTTAAAAATATTTTTGGATCCCAGCACAGTGGCTCATGCTTGTAATCCTAGTTACTCAGGAGGCTGAGATGTGAGGATCACAGTTCAAAGCCAGCCAAGACAGGAAAGTCCATGAGACTGTAACCTCCAGTTTACCACCAGAAAACCAAAAGTGGCACTGTGGCTCAAAGTGGTAGAGTGCTAGTCTTGAGCAAAAGAGTTTAGGGATAGTGTCTAGGCCCTGAGTTCAAGGCCCATGACCGACAGCACCCCGCCCCCCCAAAAAAATATATGTATATATTTGGCAGTGCTTGGGGGGCCTTACACTTGCTAGGCAAGTAATTGATCTGCCACTTGAGTTGCTCCCTTCCCAGCTCTGTTCTGTAACTTCTTGACATAATTTCAGACCGAAAGGAAAGTTGCAAGAATTCTTGTGCATCTTCCCCCCAGATTCCTTACATATTAACATTTGCTTTGTTCTTTATTCTTTCTCTCATGTAAGTATTTTTTTCTACATACTTACATATATGGGACTATGTACAGTATATTTATATATCTTTTTCTGAGGCACTTGAGTAAATTGCCACCATCCTTATGGATTTCATATTGTGTGTTTTGGTTTAAAAAAAAAGGCTAATTTTTTTACATAACCCCAAGGGTTGTATGCAGAATTAGTGCTGTAGGCTTCATTGACACTTGCCATTTATCCATATAATGTTCTGTATTGCGAAAGAAAGTTTGAGGTCATGTGTTACCTTCAGTGGTTTATACCTTGTAAATCTGGAAGAGTTGCTCATATATTTCATGACTGACCTTTTTGAAGCTATCAGGCTATTTATATAGTACTACTCACTAAATAGTAGATTCTTTCACTGGCTATGTTTTGGTTAAGATTCCTAGTTGGAAATGGAAGCAAGACACAGCAGCCATATCTCCCTACTAGGAACCCAAGAAAGAATGATAGATATAGTTGTGTGCAAGTGCACAGCCAGGCTGCAGCCCTCACTTGAGCCCCATGCTAGAGATGATGCAGGTGCCCTGTTTCAGTTCTTTTCCTGTCTTATAACTTACTGTAACTCAGTAACCAACAAAAGATGATGCTTTCTCTGGCACATATATGGTGTGTTCCCCATCCACTTATGATGCCATAGCAAACAGGTCTCCTGTCCCCTAAGCCATACCTGGGAACAAAGCACACCCATTCTACCGTTAGCTATGACCTTGGGCAAATAGCTCCACTCTGTTGACTAGTGCATAGAGGTTTTGTGAGGATTAAATATGACTTATTAGGTAAAAAATTGAAATCAATAGAGCTAACATACTGAATGCTTGCCATGTGCCAGACACCCCTCTATGTTTTCATGCCTTTCAAAGTATATTTGATTATAATTTATTTTTTCAAAACTACTTTTTTTGTGGGGTTGCTAATCTCGGGGCTTGAATTCAGAGCCTGGATTCTGTCCCTGAGCTTTCATGCTCAAGATTAGCGCTTTACCACTGTGTCACATCTCCACTTGCACCTTTTTTGGTGGTTAATTGGAGATAAGAATTTCACAGACTTTGTGCCCAGGCTAGCTTCAAACCTAAATCCTTAGATCTCAGCCGACTGAGTATCTAGGATTACAGCCAGTACCTGACTCAACTACTTTTATTCAAGTTCTTTAGCCTATTTAGGACACAAAATGGTTGTAATAAAAGGTAGTTGGTTGATTGGTTTTTGAGACAGAGTCTTCAAAATGTAGACTAGACTGGCTTCTTAACTTTCCATCTTCCTGCCTCAGTGCTAAGATTACAGGTATGTACCACCACTCCCAGCCCTGATTAAAGTCTAATTTTTCTCTCTAGCAGATGGATAAATAGCAGAGGTTTTTAATCACTGCTGTTATCAGATGAGTTTTTCCTTTTTTAATTCCACATCTTTAGGAATAGGGTCTGTTGGGAAACATCACTGGCTCTGCTAATTTCAGATTCTGGATAGTAAGGAAGTGGGAGTGGTGGCAGGAAATGAGAGCCAGCAGCTGGGAAACAAGTGTGTAACTTGATGTCAGTGAACCAGTCCTCACTTCTAGAAGACAAATTACATGTAACTCATTGGAAGAGCAGGTGTCTTGCCATTTTGTTTTCAGTTTTTCCATTTGTGAGCCCATGGTACACAGCTGTTCAGAGCTATAATGCTTTGTATTTGGCAGGTATCTAGTAAGTAAGATTTTATTTTTAAAGTATGACATATGTTTTCAAAAATTTTAAGTATTCTCGATGTAACTACTTAAAAATCTTGTTATACACACTGTAGGAGTCTTTAAATTATTTAACTTACAGTTAAAGGTTTTTATAGACACCCCCATTTTGTCCCCGTTTTTCTGTAAGTATGCTGTACCATGCACATGATTGGTTTACATTGTTTAAAGTGTATTTATTATTGTGACTTGAAAGGGAGTCTCACTTCTGATTACTCTTGTATATTTAAGCCAGTGAAGAAAAAGAAGATAAAACGAGAGGTTAAGATTCTGGAGAACCTTCGTGGTGGAACAAATATCATTAAGCTGATCGACACTGTGAAAGACCCTGTGGTAGGTACCTGGCTGCGGGTGCTAGTGGGTTGGGGGGCCAGGATGGTCAGTGCGCAGACCACACAGAATGGCACGTGGTAATGCTGAATAGTTTGGAAACCCTGTCACAGCTCTGGTGCTTCGTTACTTTTATTCAGTCCACAAATGTTTACTGTGTCACTTCCTCCAAATTCTTGCTTATGCCAACCATTTTTGAGAGTTTACACCTAGCATTTGGAGCTGAGGGCTCACAGCCCACCAACTCTTGGGAACCTTTGCTGTTTCTTAGGCTGCTTTTTAGTTCTACATCCAACATGAGGGCTCACATTGTCTGTAGATACTACCAGAACGTTTCTTTCTTACTAGCATAAATAGTACAGGGAATTTCATTGGTATAATTCCATAGAGGTACACAGAGTGCTATGGACAATTCACCCTCTCTGTTAAGTTCACTTAACCACCACCCCGCCCCCCTTTTTCACAAACACTGCTTGGTGGATTTCACTAGGATGTCTTCATATGTGTGTCTATAGAATTTGTTTCCACCCTCTTCATTCCCAGAACACATTCCCTTGTACAACTAAAATAGGCCTAAAATGCTTATACTTTAGCTATTGTAGGTGGGTCCCTAAGTTTTCTCTCCCTTAAGAATAATTTAACCAGGTTTTTGCTGCTGTTGTTATTTTGTTTTGTTTTGCTGGTACCAGAGCTTGAATTCAGGGCCTTGTGCTTACTCAGCTTGCTTGCTTGCTCACAGCTGATATTCTACTACTTGAGCCATGCCTCCAGCCTTTCTTTTTTTTGGATTAATTGTAATCCTAGCTATTCAGAAATCTAAGTTTAGAGGATTAAGGTTCAAAGCCAGCCTCATAGAAAAATCCAAGAGAGTCTTACTTTCAATTAAATAAGTAAAAAGCTGTACTAGCTAAAGGCATAGTTCAAAAGATAAAGAACCAGCTGAGCAAGCATGCCAAAAAGTGTGATGTAACATTTAAAAAGAAAATAGAGATTTTTCAGAAGAAATTTTTGTGTTTTTTTTTTTGTTTGTTTTTGTTATTATTGTTGTTTGGTTATGGGGCTTGAACTCAGGGCCTGGGGATGCTGTTCCTGAGCTTTTTTGTTCAAGGCTACCACTCTACCACTTAGAGTACTACTTTCGGTTTTCTGGTGGAAATCATCTCATAGACTTTCTTGCCTGGGCTGGCTGACTTTGAACCACGATCCTCAGATCTCAGCTTGAATAGCTAGGGTTACAGGTGGGAGCCACCCGTGCCCAGCTAATATCTGTGGGGGGGTGTTTTTTTGTTTTTTTGTTTTCTGTTTTTTTTTCTTTTGTTGAGTGTATGTGTATTTATTGGTTTTTGTTTTAAAATAGTCTTCCTCTGTGGCCTAGACTGGCTTTGAACTGTCGATCCTCTTGTATCAGCTTCTAAGTGAGGAACTTCCTTTTTAAAACTTAATTATGAAAAATGTCAGCCATTTTCAGAAGTAAAGTGAGTAATATGAATGATGGAGTGAAGAATATTGAACAACATGGAATACACAACACCCAACTTTAGTGGTTGATCAGCTTGTGACTAGCGGTTTTAGTCCTATGCACTTACCTCACTTCCACCCTAGTTGGTTTTTCATTATTAGCACCAATTAGTTGCAGAAGGGCCTTTCATTTAACATGGCCCTTTATGTACATAATACATTTTGGTAAAAGTCACCCCATCCATCACTCTCCTCTTCCCAAACCAGTTGTATCAGGTTTTCTTGTTCCATTTTGACATATGTATATAAAGCATTTTGGTTTTATTTGCCCTCCCTTTTTTTCTCCAATTGTCTGCCCTCCCTCCCCTACCTCCCAGTACTTCCACCCCAAACAAGACATATTGTCAACTTCCTAGTGTTCTTTTTTGCTGAAGTGCATATTGTTCAAAAGGGTTTCATCATGATGTCTTACACATGAATACTGTCAGATTGATCATGTATATGTATCCATACACAAATACGTAATCTGGTGTGTGTTTATAAACATGTTTATATTTTAGGGCTAACATCCATGAAGGAGGGAAACTTGTTCTGAGCCTAGTTTACTTCTCTTAATGTGATGGTCTCCAGACCCATCTATTTCCCTGCAGATGACTTCATTTTATTCTTCTTTATGACTATTCTGTTGTTTTTAAGTACCACATTTTCTTGATCCCTTCATTAGTTGTGAGGCATCTGGGCTCTTTCCAAGGCTTGGCTACTGTGAATAATCTGCAGTGCACATGAGTGTGCATGTGCAAGTGTCTTTTCATATCCTACTCAGAGTCCTGCGGAGAGTTGCCCACGAGTCATCCTGGTTGTTTTGAAGCAAATTCCAGACCTGATGAAAAAAATACTTTTTTTAGTAAGTTGTCTCTGATGAGTGAATTCCTTTTTCATCTAAGTAGGATTTAGGAATGGACCATTGGAGCAAAAGCAGATTCCATTTATCACTATCTGAGTCCCTAAAAAGCATTACTGTTCTCTCTTGCAGTCAAAGACACCAGCTTTGGTATTTGAATATATCAATAATACAGATTTTAAGGTGCGTATACTTTTTCTTTCTGGCATGGGGTTGATAGAGGATGGGGAGGTGATGATGTGTAGGGTCAGAAATTGTTGGTGAGAGTGGGAAATAACAAGGTGGATTCTTTACAGCATGACTACTGGCTGGGGTTGTTGTGTTGGTGAAGTTACTTGTCTCCCTTCACTTACTCAGGGAGTAGCTCATCCCTCATCAGTTACACTGCTGTTTTAGACATATATATGCGTAGGTGGATATTAACTTCATTTTTGTAAGAAATCTTACATTGCTGATGGGAAGCGATACAGTGAAGATGGTGTAAAGGAAGCGTTGGTGGCTCATACCCATAATCCTAGCTACAGGAACTGAGATCTAAGATCAAGGTTTGAAGCTATCCTGGGCAGAAAAGTCTGTGAGACTCTCATTTCCAATTAAACACCAAAAAAATGGAAGTAAAGATGTGGGTGGCTCAAGTAATAAAGCGCTAGCCTTGAACAAGAGCTCTGATTCCAAGCCTCAGTACCAGCACCAAAAGAAAAAAAAAAAGCCAGTTGGATTGGAGTGACCACATAATACTTTGTGTCTACACCATGTACAAAGGAAATGATACTGAAAGCCTGCTTTAAGGAAGAGCTACTGAGAGTTGCAAAACATTCTACAAGAATAATTTTTTAAAGTAAAATGAAAATGATGGTCTTAAAAAAAAGAAATGTCACTGCTTGGGCTGGGAAGTTGGCTCAGTGGTAGAGCGCTTGCCTTGCATGCCTGAGGCCCTGGGTTCAGTTCCTCAGTACCACATAAGAAAAAAGCCGGAGGTGGCGCTGTGGCTCAAGTGGTAGAGCGCTAGCCTTGAGCTGAAGAGCTGAGGGACAGTGCCCAGGCCCAGAGTTCATTCCCCACGACCGGACCCAAAAAAAAAAAAAAAAAAGAAAAGAAAAGTCACTGCTTTTAGAAGAGCCTGATTCTAGGGTATTAATGTGTTTTCATATATATTATTTTGAACTGACAACTATTGATGGTTTGTTGAATTGTCGGTTTTGAGACAGTCATACTCTATAACTCTGGCTGGCTTTTTAAAAAACAATTATAGTTATTACAAAGGTGATATACAGAGAGGTTACAATTACAAATAAGTCAGGTAAAGAATATATTTCTTTTTGGAGAGTGTCACTTTTTCTATTGCTCTCTTTTTTCCTTACCCTTCCTTACCCATAGGTTCTATAGTTTATTTTCAACATGATGTCCGGTGTATAATTGCTACATTTGTTTACCCTTTGTCCCTCCATTTCTGTGTCAGGTTGGCCTTTTACTCATGATTCTCCTGCCTTCAGCCTCCCAAGTGCTGGTATTACAGGTGTGCAACCACCATGCCAGTCTAAGTATTCTTTTTTTTTTTTTGTCCATTGTGGGGCTTGACCTCAGGTCCTGGGCACTGTACCTTTGTGCTCAAGGCTAGCACTTTACCACTTGAGCCACAGTGTCACTTTGGGATTTTTCTGAGTAACTTACTGGAGAGTCTCATGGAGTCTCATGGAGTCTCATGGAGCTAGGCGCTGGTGGCTCACACCTGTTAGCCTACCCACTCAGGATGCTGAGATCTGAGGATCGGGGTACAAAGCTGGCCTGGGCAGACCAATCCCTGTGAATAAAGCTCAGTTTTTTTTTTTTTCTGAGAACAATTTGGAACTCATTGTAGAAGACAAAACCATGGCAATGGCTTTTATAGGCATTGGTAGAGCTCACGGTGATGATGGAGTGGTGGTGGTGGTTTTCAAGGCCTTGGTGGGCCTCTCAGTAGTGGTGTGACTGGCAGTGCATCTGCCAGTTGACATGGTAGCTCAAGGGAAACCCAACTGAACAAGATGCTACTATCAGACATCATTCTTTGGGGAAAGTGTAAGAGCTTGATCTTCACATTTAATTATCCTTATATGATCACTCTGAAGGTTAGAGAAAAATAAGTTTAAGATAAAAGGATATTCTTGTTTATAAAATAGTAGCTCTGGGCACTGGTGGCTGTGTCTATAATCTTAGTAACTCAGGAGGCCTGAGCTCTGAGGATTGTGGTTGAAATGAGCCTGAGCAGGAAATTCAATGAGACTCTTATCTCCAATTAACCACCAAAAGCTGGAAGTAGAGCTACAGCTCAAAATGGTAGAGTACTAGCTTTGAGCAAAAAAGCTTAAGGACAGCACCCAGGCCCTACCAAGCTCAAGCCCCAGGACCAGCGTTTAAAAAAAAAAAAATAGCAAGCATTATATATAGTCTTGAATTTCCATGTAATAGATGTTCCTGTTAACATGAATTAGTTTTCTCATTCAGTAACCTAGTAGCGCTTAGGTACTCAAGCACTGTGCCTATGAATCACTCAGTTTTACCCATTTTATCAAGGTATACATGATAAGCTTGTCTACCTACCTTCCTTCCTTCCTTCCTTCCTTCCTTCCTTCCTTCCTTCCTTCCTTCCTTCCTTCCTTCCTTCCTTCCGTCCTT